CCGGCTGCCGCTGCCCATGGCCCAGATGCCCTCCCTCCCTCCCTCCCTTGAGCTTCCTGCTGCCGCTCCTGTGCTGCTCAGTTGCCACTGGGCCCTGGAGGAGAGCCCCTGTGTCCTCAGGCACTGCACTGCCCAGAGGGTCCCGTTACCTCTGCATGTCTCCCAAAGTGGGTGCCAGGGGGAGGGGCTCAGTGTTTTGAAAGAAGAGACTTGGAGTTAAAGAAATGTTTCTTTCCCCCATAGCTGCTCCTTCTGTTCTCAGCACGCAGAACCCCAATTCCTCCAACAGTAACAACCACAGGAAGAAAAGAAGCCGCATGAAGGACAACAGGGAGACTAATGAGATAGACGGTGCATTTCTGCAGTGGAAGACTGTGCAGAAGGTTGGGAAATATAGTGTAGACCAAGCATGTCAAACTCACAGCACAAGGGCCTGCATGCAGCCCACAACCAATATTTTTGTGGCCCAGCCAATATAACAGTTTGTAAGAAACATTTTAATAAAAATTTGTTACCTTAATTTTTACAACATCCTGTTATACATAATTATTAATAACAAACTGCAACATTTGCTAATGACTGATTAATATAATCGTGTTACATTCATTTGCCTATGTGCCATACATGTAGGTGCACCATTTTTTCCCACTAATACTAGCAGCGAATATTTTAGCAGCCGATAGCCATGTCATTAGTCTTGAAGTGACTTGTTTGGTGTGTGCAACAGGATATTTCACTTTCAGAGAATAAGAAAAATAGGTTTATTTGCCTTATGCTTATTAATTTGTGTAATTATTCAGAGTCTGGTAAGTTAGTTTAAGAAAAATATTAATTTTTATTAAAATGTTCTATTAATTTATGTTAACGTTGACTCATTTATTTCAGCCCTTTGTATTCAGCATGTCTCTATCGAAATAAACCTACGTTTCTCTGAAAATTGAAGCTTTTGTTTTTTTGTGGCCACATAAACTTAAATCTAGTTATTTTGCCCATGTTAGCCTTTGAGTTTGACATGCTTGGTGTAGGGCATGAGCACATACATGTAACAATGACCTTGCCAAGGACGCTGAGGTGGCTCTTCAGGGCACATGGTTAAGGATTTATGCTGCTTTTCTCTGAAGGGAGCAGGGAGGGCTTCAGGGGAAGCTTGACCATCGTGGCCTGATAGCGGCCCCCAGGCTGGCTGCAGGCTGCTCCGCGGCTCCTTCCCTGACCTTCAGGTCCCTCCTGCCCCACCCCTGCTGGCCTTCGCCTCCACACAGAGCATCCCAGCCTCCAGGGCCCGTCACATACGGAAAAGGAGTGACCAGGAGCCACCTGCAGCCTGCCTCCCAGGGTGAAGAGCCCTGGGCACCCTTAGCACACCCACAGGAAGGACCAAACTCCAAACACTGTGCCAAGTGCACCAGGCGGACACAGGCTCACCATGAGTCAGGGGAGGAGGAGTTTTAAAGCAGCAAACCCATCAAGGGAGGAAAAGGCCACAAGAGTCTCTATGCCCCCATTCCTGGCACCGGGCCTCAGGGGACTGGGGTCATTGGCCATGTTGTTTTTTCATGGGTTTGGGTTATATTAGTGCTTTTGTATCTGTCAAAGCATTCAATGATACACTTAGGTTTGCTGCATTTCAGAAAAGGACTGTCCCCAAACAGCTGCAATTCAAGTTACGCAGAAGGAAGGAAGGCAGTGGGAGAGGTTAGCCTGAGGACCAAATGCGCCTGGAAATGCATCAGAAACAGAGAGAAACTGAGGAGGAGAAACAGAAATTTGATAGATGAGCGACAAGGAAATGTGGTCAGATATTAATTTACAATCCGAGATGAGAGAGGGCCCTTCATTGTAAGATTGTTTCTGCTTGTTCTAGGTTTGATAATTTTCATGAAAAGTTTGGAGGATAAAGAAAAAGTGAACGACACAAACAAAGCCGTGGACACAGCCACGCAGAAGCCATGGTACATACTGGGTGACAAGTGACTCATGAGAGGGACAGACCCAGGGCTGCAGGGAGCCAGCGGTGCCTTCTTGTCAGAAGAGATATCAGGGGGCCGGCCTAAGTGTCAGGCCTCCAAGGGTGGGGGGCTGGACCCAGGAAGCTGAGGCCGGGCTGGCAGGATGCCCCACCCCATCCCCACCTCCAGCCTTGGCAGCAGGAGGGCCCAGGAGCCCAGGGAGGGCCTGGAAGGGCCCAATGGTCCCGCTAAGAGGTGTCTGATCCCAGGGCCAGGCTGGTGTAGGGACGTGGTCTCCAGTGCCCAGGCCCTGAGTGGCGGGTGTGCTGGAGCACAGACCTGGTGGCAGGGAGGCCCGCAGAGGCCTCTGCTTGCCCTAGAGCAGCAGGGAGCCAAGGAGGCCTTGCTCTCCCTGCCAGAGGCCCAGGGCCCCTCACTGACTTCTGTGGAGTGAAGTCCTGATGAAAGTGTCTTCCAATTCATTTGTGTTCGGAGTCCTGCCCTGAGTGTTCCCAGTAAGTGCTTGTCAGGCTGATGAGGCTCCCCCAGGGGCGGTGCAGAGGGAGGGCTCCTTATCAAGTTCCAGATCCATGCCAGGGGAGCCTTGCCTTTTCCCCCTGGGGGTGATTGCGCCCCGAGTGCTAGTGTGGGTGGAGCCTGCCGCCTGCCTGGTCCTGGGGTGACAGTGGATGGGAGCGCTGTCCTACAGGCTTCCTTCCCGCCGAGATAACCATGCTCCTCCTCCATCTCGCTGATGCGCCATATCACAGCGATTTAAATCTGGTATCCGAGTTGCATTTCTTGGGGGTCCCCCCAGTTAGTCTTGATGCACTGTCCTTGATATGTGCAGTTGGATTCCAATTGCTGGCTTTTTTGTTGAGTTTTCTAAAATATTTTTCTGAGTTCTTCATTGGACTTTTGGTTTTGAGATTTAAAGGATAATTACACTGGATTTGTATGTCAATCACTCCACAATATACTTAAAACTCCCAGTGCGGGGCTGAATGGCTCACATTGATGACCTTCACATCCACTAAGCTCTAAGTCCATTATATCTGAGAACAGCTGGCAAAAACGTAATTACGTACCTGTACCTACGCCATACTCCTGGAACACCCCCTCACCCCCCCTTACACACATCAAGAGGCGCAGAAATATGTGCACTGTACACATTCCCACATATCGGGCCATGCACACAGTCCAAGGACCCACAGATCCCACGTCATCCCGACCACACACACCACACACAGTCAGACCACTCCATCAGACACACCACACACCCTCAGATCCTACAGTCACCTCCTCCACATACACCACACACAGTCAGACCACTCTATTTAGACACACCATACACCCACAGATCCCACAGTCACCTACACCTCACACATACCATGCACATTCTGACCCCTCCCTGTACACCTACCCACATACACAAAGCTCTTACCCCCCCCACACACACTCATGCTCATCACACAAAAATGCATGCACACTTTTGTCTAGAACATTTACTCTAACTCTTACCTCCTACACAAACAAAGTAAATGTCCTCTCCCATAACATCTAAACAGGAATTGTCTACAAGCTGCAATAGAGAGAAGCAATGGCAGGTCAGGGAGCAGTGAACATGGTGTCATGATGAGAAGGTTCTCTAGCTCCCTGCTCACGTTAAGCCCACACTCACCGAATTAACGAAGCTATCCATGGTGTTGTAGCTGCTTTTTTCATATATTTGGTGTTCACCTTCCACAATATGCTTCAGCTAAAAGAAAGGCGAGGTGACTTGGGCCCCAGCCAGATGTGGAACCCAACAGGTCTCCCCAGGAGAGAGTACCTGGACTCAGGAAATATTAGACTCCTAGGACCAGACCTGGTGTCACCAGCAGCCCAGCCTTGGGGTAGGCAGGAGGATGCTCCCGCAGGCACCCCTGTTGAAAGTTTTACGTAACATTGTTCCCCATTTCTGCAGTGCCATACCTTTGTGCACGCACTTATGGGGAGTTAGAGAACTATGCTTTGGGCTACCTTAAGAAAACTGCTTTTGGGAATGTTCCCCAAATGGGCTCATGTAGCAACCCTTGTTACCTGTTCAGAATTACCTGCCTTCGGCTATAGTCTTCTAAACCCACGCTGTAAACCTTGGCCCCCATATTCCGAGCCTTGTAAGCCTAAGAGAAAGAAGGCTTTGCATATAAATCACCAAAATACATGGAGCCAAGAGCTTATAAGTCTGGACTGGACTCACTTCTTTCCTAGTTTCGAAGACTGTCTCTTCCACCATCAATCCCCCTATCATGCTGATAACGAGGCTGGCAGCTTGGTTGTCTGCAGGAGAAGCAGGCCTGGACTGGTTGGTAAAGGTACCCACATGACCTGCCCCAGGCTGCAGGGCCACAGCACTGCTCCCCACACCTCCTCCTCTGGGGAGAAGGTCGCTCAAACCCACTCACCCACCATCTCCAGCTCCAGGAGGGCTTTGCCGCCCACTCTGGGAGGAAAAGGAGCCTTAACTCAGGACCTATTTTACAGATGGAGAGACTGAGCCCAGCTCAGGCCTCTTCCTACTGAACTCTCACTGCTACCAGATGTGCAGCCTTTGCCCTGAAAGGCAATTCCAGCTGTTTCAGTGAGCACAGCCTTTCAGATGAGCAAAGGGAGGAGAAGCCAGACCCACTGAGTCTAAGGCCCGGGTCCTGCTCCAGACAGAGCCTGCGGACACTCCAGTGGTTCACACTCAAGGTCTGAGGCAGGTGGGCCGCAGATCCCAAACCCAGCTCAACGCTGCTCCGAACCAGGTCCACACGTCTTTCCTGACTACAGCTGTGACCCTATTGTCCAAACGAAGATGGCTCCGGCTGAGCACAGCCTGTCCCTCTGTTGGAGACACTGTCACAGGACCAGTGAACCAAAGGGAAGAAGCTGAACGACAGGAGTCAGAGCCAGAACTGTGGCAGAGACAGGAGTGCGGCCAGTGAGGCCCGCCCCCCTCCCCCCCCCCTCGTGGCAGATCTTTCTTATATACAGTGAAGTTTGTGAGACTAATGACCCGACTTATTTACTTTTGCGTTTTCGGGAAGACTTTACTTTATTCCTACACCGCAAAAATTATAGCTCCACCGGATTAGCCTCCCATACATCCGTATATACAGCTCAGAGACATAACTGGGAGTGTTTTACATCTGG